TCAGCTACTAATAAAAATGCTGTTATGACAACTTCTTTTTAAATGAGCTAAAGTGTAACTAACAGACTTGATGTCATTTGAATTTGTGGCTCATGTGACCCTGATATGAGTTACAGTAATAATTTCTATTAGATTTTCATTCACAGTCACAGAGACAATTTACAAGAAAAGCAGAAATAAAATGTATCTTATTAATAATATCTTACTATTATTTGCCTTGCAAAGAATGTGTTATTTTTTCCAATAAATTATTAGGAATTTTGTTATAAAAGTCAGGATCATGATAAAAAATGAGTACCTCCATGAGGGTGAAAAAGGTATATGGCTTGGCCAGATGTTAGTGAAAGGACTTGCAACTGAAGTAGAAACTGCAGACAGCATATTGATTACGTCTTTAAGCTTCCTTGTTCACGTGTTTATCTCCTAGAGAGGCAGGGTTACCAAGGAATGAATGTACACATAATGTCTTCTGTTCTTTTCTTGGGACTTCAGAAGTGGGTCTCATTTTCTTACTTGGGGACTGAATCTCAATGGATAATTATCAGTGGACTTTTGTTAATCTAGCAGTTGTCAATAATGTCCCACAGGACCTGATTATGGGACCTAGTTGGGTTAGTGTATTTATTGATGATATGGATAAAGAAATCAAGAATGAGTTAATCAAATTCAAGGTTGATATTTAATGTTAGGAGAAGTTGCATATACTCTGAAAAACAGAAGTAAAATTCACAATTCAGAATGATCTAGATAAGTTGCTAGGGAAATATCCTTAAAAAAAGATGATGAGACTCTGTAGAACTGAGCTTTGGTATATGTATGGTCAAAAAAAAAAGTACAAATAAAGTACTGGAAAAGCACCAATACTGATCAAATCAGCCAACAATCATTTTTTAAATACCAATACTGTGCCAGGAATTATTCCAGGCACTAGGGATAAAAATATGAAAGTGAGACAGTCGTTGTCCTTAAAGACCTTACATTCTACTGGTTGGATGCATGTTCACAGTTAAATTTATTCAAATACAAAATTAATAGTGACTTGGTATGGGGAGGAGGGCATGGATGAGCACAACAAGTTGGGGGATGAGCTAAGTCTTGAATGGATCCAGAGGCAGAGGTGAGGAGTCAGAGCACTCCAGGCATTGGGAACAATGGCCCTTGCAAAAGTATGGAGATGGGAGATGGGATGTGGAATATAGAGAGAAGTAGATAGGTCAGTTTGGCTACAGCATAGAGCACATCTTAGAAAGCAATGTCTAATCATCATAGGAAGTAATGGAAATACAATATACTCATATTACTATTCCTATTTTTATGTGAATTCTAATGTATAAAAACATTCCATCAGTGGAATGCTAACTAGGGTGGAAGAGGACCCAGGAAGGTTAAATTGACTTGTGTTGATAAGTCTTGACATGTATTTTAATTCTGTCATCCAGTATTTATTGGTCAAATCTAATCAGAGAACTGATTTATTTGCTTAAATATTTCAAAGCTCTTCACAAACTGGTATGGTTTCAAAGCTACATCCATCACAACTCCTCCTGACTTATTACTCAGAATTGTAGTGTACTACAAAGGTTTTATGTTTCTGAAATTATCTAAAATGGTGGCCAATGTTTTCCTCCCAATTAGTTCATTTTCACTTGTAATGATGGCCATGCTTAGATTTGCCTTTCTTGGTTCCATAGGAACCATGGGAACTACATGAGAACAGTCAGGCCTGCTTTTGGCCACATGTGACTCATTCATTGCTGAAGGCCTTGAACTATGAGATTATAAGAAGTCCCTTTATTGTTTGGGGGACTGAAGAGCTGAAGACTCAATGGATGGATGGGCAAAAGGGAATGGGACATTCCCCAATCTCTTTTCTTTTATAGTTGTAAATGTGATACGAATATATTGTTAGAGTGATGAGATGGGCCACTTACCCTCCTTATATCCAGCCACCATGTGGCAGGAAGCACAAGGCAGCTAAAAAACATATCCCTCCCAGGCAAACCTAAGCTTGGGTTTGAGTTGCCTGTCTTTTGTGTTTATTCTTTCCTGATCTAGGCAAATAAGTATCAATCCTGAGGTAGGTCCAAGATTGGAAGCAAACTTGTGAGATCAAAAGTCCTAGAGGTCCAGGATCTATCTTATCATGTACCTAGCTGGTAGCAGGGAAACTTTTGGAAAGGGTGGAATCAAGCCAGCCCTATTTTACAGTCTGACGTGTAATATGTTTTGTCATTCTTTTATATTAAGCATTTGTTTATTTTTATGAATAAGCTATCTATCTCACACCTGAATCACTGTACTGTGGGCATTGTCAAATTTTAAGAATACACATAAAGGCAAAAACATGATCCTTGCCTTCAGGGTGATCACATTCTAAAGGAAGTTATTTTCTAATAAACATCATTAAGTATATAAAGTGTATATAAATGGAAGATTGAACTCATGGTACAGATTATACTGCTACCTACAAAGGAATTGAATATATCCAGATTTTCTTGAGAAGGAGTAAAGAACTTAGCATGATTTCCCAGGGTGAGGTGGACAGCCTCACAGAGTTTGTGATTAGGACTACATGCTAGCCACCAATACTCAAGGTGAGTTTTCAACAAGGTTATCATCAATGGAAATGAACCAAGGTGCATCCAGAATTGACCCAAGAGGGACCACATTGGGTATGTATGTCAAAATGTTCAAATCCTGGTTAAATTCTTTTCAGTGAATTATATTTTCTCTTATGGTAAGTTCTACGTGAGCACGTCTTGTTTATTTTACATTTTCAACACCTAGAAGAATACAGCTTATCAATAATGTTGTTTGAATATAAAGTAAATTGAAGAAGCAAGGAAAGGTGTAATTCACTTGAGGGAAAATTATATCAACATTATCAAAAACCAACACAAATTTCAGTGTTTAAAAATAGAAACCTCATTTATCCAAAATATTTTTCTTGTATAGAATGATTCCAACAGTAATGCTGAACAAACAAGATGACTAAATTTACATTCTCTAGTCACAAATTCTGAATTGGTCAAAACTGTATATCAGCACAACATATGGAAACAAGGTTCCACAGAATTTCGTTTTTACTGAAAACTAATGTAATGATCACACAGTCTTTCCAGGGTATATGGAGTGAGAACATTTGGGTCAAAATCTCCAGTTTGCTGTTTAACATGTAAGTGATCTTGAGCATTCAGCACCATTCAGGTGTTGATTTACCTCATCTGTAAAATGAGGGAATGGGATGGACAATCCCTCAGAATTCTAAGTCTTATGATTCTTTTATTAAATATGCATAAGACATATATACATATTATAAGTGTGTATATTAGATTAATAAACAAATGAATTATAGAGAACAAATTTTTTAACTTCATTACCACAAAAATGAGAGTACTTATTTTCTCTTAATTAAAAAAGTCATAAATTTCACTTGGATTAGTAGATTGGAAATAATTGACCTAAAATGTTCTTTGTAGTTAAAATTGAATTTTAAAAATTAGCTCATATCTCTACTTCTCTTTGTTTGGGTCCATGTAACTCTACTAGACTTTTAGATTTGATAATGTGAACTATAATTAATATTTACAAAAAAAAAGAGCTTGGGGTTTTGGGGTGTTTTTGTCTGCTAATAAACTTTCTTCAAAACCATATATCATTTATATCAGTAAACAATATATTACTAAAATTTCAAACTGAGATTCACTGAGCTTGGGTAAAAACAATTTTCATTTTTAGTGCCCACATTCTGGCTACAGCAATAGGTTTTCTTTCCATCTTGTCTTGGGTTGTAAGCTTCAAGAACACAGAGACTGAGTGTAACTAACTTTTTACAGTACCTACCAAATCAGCAAACATGGGGAAATTTAATGAGTATTACTGCTGCTACTAAATTTAGCATAACATCACATGCTACTGTTAATTTTATCGTACTTAGACAAGCACTAAGAAGGATATTTGGAAGGAACATCATTAGTGTCTCTGGTAAAGCTACAAATTTACAGTAGGCATGAAATCCAGAATAAACTTGGGAGATTTGGATGAAGCTGTCATAGAAACAAAGAAAAAAACTCAAATAGACTTCCATATTTTTAGCTAAACTTTAAACATATAAATGAAACTATGAAGATGAATGTCAGAGGATCATACACACTCATATGATATACTGCAGAAAAAAAGTGTAGAACATATGTTCATAGACTGTTGCTGTAAAGAAGATAGACACAATATAAAAGATTTAAAAATGAAATGAGGTCATACCTCACTCATAAAAAGACTCACAAGCTCTAAAGTTTAGGATATAAGAGAGCAGCAGATAAAGATTATGTGATAATTATCAAAATGCCTACCAAAGAATTTAGAATTTGATCATTTTATGGTTACTGACTCTCTTCACTTAAGTGAGAATATAAACTTCACATATACTTTTTGTCCAGAGGTCTTCACAATATCATTTTTCTCTAATGAAATGATCAGCTTTTTGACTAAATCAATCAAAACAATTATTTGCTATGGCATATGCATATACAGTAGTAGTAGTCAATGTCTTCACCAGGTAAACTAAATTCAATATCCCAAAGACTTAACTATGTTGACAATTTGAGTTATACTCTTTATTGACTTGTATCTCAAAGGGCTCTCTGCTACTATGCAAGCACTAAGAATAACAAAACATTGAAAATAGAACAGGTTTTATTTCACTTGACAAAAAACTGCAGAGGTTGACACCAGAGCTATGGAGTCAAGACTATTTCCTTTCCCTCTTTAGAGTCTTCACCATCTGTGGGAACTAAATTAGTCCTCCAGGTGAATAGTACTATTCTAAGTTAAGTCCTCCCAAAAGAGGAAAAAATATCCCATTTTAATCTTAACACAAGATGTATAACAATAATTTTTTGTTAGTACAATTAATTTTCCATCTGTAAGCCACTAAATATCTTTGTGTGCAACATATACAAGCACATCTATTTTGGCATGTATTTTAAAAGTCAAGTACTTACCTTAGCTATCTGGACACACCAGTTAAGTAGGAGTTGGGAGCCAATGTTATCTTTATGTTCATGAACATAATCCAATAGGCAGCCATGAGGCATTAGTTGAGTAACCAACTGAATTGTTGGGCTCAGACAGACACCCAATAATCGTACCAAGTGTGGGTGATCCATACTTGCCATGATCAAAGCTTCCTATAAAAAAACACAATGCCATCATATCAGCTAATTATTAAATTATTAGATTATTAACTAGATATTATTAAGGTCAAAATTATATTACTCCAATAATTTTATAATCTATAAGTCCCACTCAATACATAACAAGATAGAACTTAAGATATTGGTATAATAATTTAAAGATGAAATTTAAATTAAGAAAATTAAGATTAGCATTATCATATTTATAATTAACTAATATGGAGTATATGAATAATAATAGAATTGCAAGGCAATTATAGCTATCTAAAAGAGCTTCATAGTAATTATAGCTATCTAAAAGTATAATGAAGTGCCATGGGAGGCAATAGGTTTTTTCCTGTTAGATGTTTCACTAGAAGACAGGATGACTCCTTGTTGAGAATTTTGTCATGAGAATTTTGGGATAAGTATGGGTTGGGGTGGATGCCTTCTCAGGTCCTTGACAAGTCTGAGATTCGCAATTCTGTTATTTTGAAGAGTTAGTACTCTCTCCTCATTCTTACCAAACAATTTTACGGGTCAGTCAAAACTACATTCTGAATCAGAGAGTAAATGCTACAAGTTTGGATCTTCTAGTAAGGAAATGGTTTATGAAAGTATGACCACTTGCAATTTAACAGAGGGCCTATATCATACATCATTTGGGGTCAGCATATGTCCTGAGGTAACTGTGGTCCAATAATCTTAGTGTAGTCCTAAACTGTCAAAGCAGGCAAATGACTCCTTTTGTCTTCAGGAGGAGGTTGGCCCAGTTTTTCTAGTGAAAAGTTTATCTCTTTATGTTATTCTCATATTTCATTTACACACATAAAGACTGTGGTAAATATACTCATCTGAAAAAAAAACTAATGCCAAAAACAAATCCACAAATTTAATTAATGTATTTTTATATCCTTCAGTGGTTCTTTTCTACCAAAGTCTTCCAATGACCCAGTGTGCCATGATAGTGAGTTCTTAAATGTCAATGAGCCTTTAGCATGTTCTTCCCAACAAATAGGCCTGGCAACTCACTGAATCCTTTATGAAGCTGATGATCTGCCAACTTAGCTTTCCATCTTCAGCTCAGTTAGGTTTCTACTCCAGGGAGCAAGATGAGCCTCCCAGGATAAGATGATCACTTCTAATCTCATCACCATGCCTATTGACTCAGTTTTGCATATTCAGCACCTTCCCAAATCTCTTAGTCCCCTCTCCCCTCTGACTGGAGGGTAGCATGCATTCAATTTCACCCAAAGCTTTCCTTTACCAAGGACAGAAATTGGACTTCTAGCTCACTCCACTTTGAATCTTTAGTTCTGCTTGGTTTCAACTTCAGGGAACAAAACTGGACATCTCCCACCTCTGCTTTCCAGTTTCTTTTGGAGTATTGTCTTGCCTCATTAGATCGTAATCTCCTTGAGGGGCAGGGACTCCTTCCTTTTCTTATTTGTATACCCAACTGTTAGTATAGTATCTGGCACATAGTTGTTTCCTAATAAATATTTACTGAATTGAATTGAATAGAGAATGAATCTATGATTTCATTAATATAGTGAACTCTCAGATGAAGAAATTCCTCCACTAGCATAGGTTGTTATTTTTCTGAAATTTATATTCAAAAAAGAGAGGGAAGAGAAAAGAAGAGGAGGAGGGGGAAGATAAAGAGAAGAAAAAGGAAGAAAATGAGAACTAGAGAGTTGCCTGGGCCACTAGTAGGTTAAGAGATTTATAGTGGGTCACATAGTATTGTCAGTATTAGGCTTCAGACCTAGATATTTCTGACATCCTATGCCATGCTGACTGTACTTCAGTGACAGAATGTGATTAAAAGTCTCTAGACCTTTCTATTATACTTGGAGATCGAGTCACAATTTTGAATGTTTATGCCCCCCCCTTTTTGGAGGAAGCTTTTCTAACTTTACAGAGGAAAAAGAAAAGTAAAATAAGAGTTTGATTCTTTCAGAAAAAAAAAAATTGACAGAACTGTAAGGTCTAGAGAGACAGGATGGCATTGGTTGGTTGGTTGTTGTCCTTCATTCTCAAAGAGGACCAAAACAATATCACTATACTAGTACCAAGTTATAGTGTGTTCAACTGTGGCTGATCAGATTAATATGAACTCAGACTGTTCTACATAGGTCGGGCACAAATAGTCCATGTGAATACTTGGGGTCGATTCTCTAAATCTGTCCATCTCAAGTTTCTTTTGAGCTACTTCAATTCTACTTTGCTCATAGAGCATAGCACCTTCTCTGATGTGGGCACGCCATGCCAAGTAGTCCTGTGCCAGTATCTTCCATGTTACACAATCAATTCCAAAGTTCTTAAGAGAGACTTTGAGAGTGTCCTTGTATCACTTCTTCTGACCACCATGTCAACGCTTGCCCTGCATGAGTTCTCCATAAAATAGTTATTTTGGCAAGCATACATTTTGCATTTGAACAACATGGCCAGTCCATCAGAGTCATGCTCTCTGAAGTAGAGTTTGAATGGCTGGCAGTTTAGTTAGAGAAAGGCAGGATAGCAAAATGCACAAATGCTCTGCCTTAGAATCAGAAAGAAGACCTGAGTTCATGTCTTACTCTGGATAAATACTAGCTATGTCAGTAAACCACTCAGAGTCCAGGCAACTATAAGTTATAGATGAGTTTCTATACCAGGTGTTCCCTATAGAGATGTAATTACAAATTAAAATAAAAACATTATTTGTCATCTAAATTTTAGACAAATGTTAGTTATAACAAGGTAATACTCTATATGAGCTCTCTCTCTCTCTTTACAAATATGAGAACACTTAAAGTATATACATCAATATATGTTACTTCTAGCTTGGATTTTTCTACTTTGTGTTTTAGTAATTATCTGAAACAAAAAAAAATGGTAATTGAAAGCTGGCGGTTAATAGGGCATAACACAAGCAGAGAAAGGAATAGTCTTCTTGAAATTCCTGTTAGTTTATTCTAACATTCATTATTTGAGAAGGTGACCACAAATACAAATCAGTGATAAAATCACTCAACTCTATTCTGCACACCCAAATATTTTTTTTATATTCATAGATGTTTGTCAGACTTCTGCTTGGATGAAATTCCCACTTATAATAGCCATATTCCATCTGTTTCCCTAGTGCTTTGAGGTCCCTACAACTGTAAATTTCTCTATAATTCATAGAAAAAGTATCATGATTCATCACTCTATAGGAAAACTAAGATTCAGTGATGGCTTACCTACAGGAATGGCATCAATCATTTTTATATTAAAATTGCAGTTTCATCAGCACTCAGTGCTATGGAAATGTGATCCTGTTAACAAGAATTCAGCACCAACCCTCTGACAGCCAACAGCTGAATGAATCAGGTTGTGTTGTGCATCAGGCACTTAGGAGCCACTAAAACCCAACAACAAAACTGTGCTCACAGGTAAACTGCCATCGCCTCTCACATCCTTTCAGTGTGGCAAAGGGAAACATTTCTCTCTGATTTACTAAGCTTAGAGTTTTGTTGAGACAATCTTTTCTGAGGCAGAGGGAGAAATTGAGAGTGAGGTGAAAAAGACTATTCTGAAACTATTTTGGCTTGTTCTTACAGAATACAAAACTATATTTCTTGCAACTTTAAGACTGATGAGCAGATAATTCCACTCCAAATACTCATTTGGAAAAGTCTGTATTGGAGAATAAGAAAAAAGTTTCATGGAAGTTCTTAAAAATATCTATTAGAAAGTCCTGGCAAAGAGACTGGATTTGTATTAAAGAAAATTGCTCATCACACTACAAAGAGTATTTGAAACCAAATTGCAGAGTATTTGCATAATAGTTCTCTTTTTTGAAAAAGATAAGATGAACAAGACACTAATTGTAGGTTTTATTTTTTTATAAAGGAAATAGCAGATGGCCGCAATTTGTGTGTGTATGTGTGTGCGCGCACGCGCACGTGTGTGTGTGTTTGTATGTATGTGTATGTATGTATGTGTGGCAGGGCTACGTAAAGAAAAAAAGCAATGAGGATTCATTCAGTTAGATGAGTGGGGTAGAGAAGGGAAGGAAAAGAGTCTAATGTTTTAAGTGAGGGAAATTTAGTTTCCGTAAATTCCTGCATGTTAAAATTAATACAGTGCTCTGTTTCCTAACTCTACAAGAGGTCTCATAGATACAATTTTAGATTCTTTTCTGCTGTCATCAGAAAATGTCACTGAGGGCTGGCAGAATAAATACATGTTGACAGGTGTATTATCCTCTTCCTGGAGACAAAATTTCTCTCTCTCTCTCTCTCTCTCTCTCTCTCTCTCTCTCTCTCTCTCTCTCTCTCTCTCTCTTTCTGTCTCTCTCCCTCTCATTTTATAATTCCTCTTAGAGTTGAATTAAAGGTTTTTTTTTTACACTGATGGTCAGGGAAGTTGAGGGATAAGGTAACATCTACTTCACACACACAAAACTGTAAAATAAGATGATTTTTCTTCATTGTGAGGACTAGTAAGAAGTATGACAAGAGACCACAAGGGCATAGATAAAAAGCTTTGAAGCATGTGTCCCATTAGTCTCTGGCCATATGCTATTTATATCTCTATTTCAGTCTGAAGAGAAGACATTTCTGTACAATACTAAAGGTAAGCAATGTCAACTGTCACATTCAGGCATCATTTTTCAAAGTTTATATCTCATCCACTTAACCTTGTTTTTTTTTACCCCCCACCACATATGGACAGTGCTTCCTCCCAAATAATATACAGTAAAATCTTATGGGCTTTTCTGTAAAACAAACAAACAAATAAAAAAACTATACCCTTGCTGGTAACATTTTAACCATGTTTCATTATGTCTATGGACTATTAATCTGATATCTACCAGTTTACAATGAGAAGAAATCAGATTGCATTGGGGATAGAAGGAAGAAAAATAAAGAAGGAGAAGGGAAGAGGGAAAACAGACAATATGGCCTCGCAAAATGCTGAGTATCTGACATAAATTCCATTGCTGCAGATAATGCTGAAAAAGGTTAGAAAGATATGATTAGAGT